TGGGCCGAGGCAGTGGTTGCTTGCAGGTACGTTGGCGGTGGCCGTCTGTCACCGGAACGCTGAGGTGCTGTTGTTGTAAATAGCAAGTTTGCTGTGTGGCATGAGTGTCTGCGTTTGTTCGCCTTGAGAGCGATTTGGTAACTTGTTTTTATCTTATATTTTATTTTCACAAAAGCAGCGCTTTGCTGTGTCAGATTGTATCTGGCCGCCAGAAGCTCTAGCTCTATGGGTTCCTGAAGATCTAGTTCTGTAAGTTCCTGCATGTGTCCAGATCTTTGTAGAGATGAAGGCACTACTCTAAATTTGCAGACACATGTAGGATGGGACCAAGCATGGAAAATACTTTAGCATAAGGTTTTGGGGTTTTTTTAGTAAAATTTAAATGAGTATAAACAATTTTTGCAGAAATCTTGAAAATACTAGCTGCCTGGAAATGTGTTTTGAATTTCTATTTTTTTTTTTGTTCTAAGTGGAAAAACTGTAAAAGATACCTAACTTAGGAGTGTCTTACTCCTATCTGTCATTTCTCACTAGATTAAAGTATATAGCTAAAACTTTTTTTTTTCTCCATGTTTACTTTTTTTAAACAAAATACTGACATATTGGAGCATTTTTGGGGAAAGAAAATTGAGGCTTAGAGCCTCAAGTGGTTACTTTTGCTTGTGCTTAGTGTTGGGTTGTTTTTTTTTTTTTTGAGAGTTAACTTTGGCACATGCTTATGTATTTTCAGGGTTTGTATTCATTATATCTGCTTTATAATCCACTTGTATCAAATATTGTGAATGTAATATTCTACCTCACCTGCCAGGCTTGTGCAAAACTTTCTAGAAAATGATAATTAGGTCTTTGCTGTATAATTTACTAAAATTTTTACTTAAGAAAAGATAAGTTTCTTTGAGTTCAAGTTAAAATTTGATGGACTGAGATACCAGTTGCTGCTTTCTGTCTTGTTCTTAAGTTGCCATATGTTTATGCTTACCAGTTACAAATGCCTGAGAAGTAGTGACAAAGCTAATGTTAAAATAGGCCTTGTCAGGAGGAGTTTGCTAGTGATTTTTAATCCCACTTGTTAGTTTAGAATTTGTGTTGTATTTGATAGTGTTCTTTGAGACAGAACATGGTACATAGTTACAGTTTTTCTGTCTTCGATGTATTGAAAATGCATGCAATGTAAAATTGTGAGGGATTTGTGCTTTTCAGCTTATTCTTTCAGTTATGCTCATATTTACACCTTTTAAAATATCTTTCCTCTTGTTTCCAGACCTTTTTTCACTGTTCCTCCTGACTGTGGCCTTTTCTGAGTCTTGCATATTTACCTCTTCTGTGTGTGTGGAAAAATGTTAAAAAGGCTGTTGAAGAAATCGAAGTCAAGTCTTTCCTTAATGTGTAAGTCTGACTTCTTCTTTGATAATGTACACTTAAAAATCCCTGGGATTTTTTTTTTACTAGTTGGTTGTTTCTAGTACATAATTTTATTTATCGTGCCGCAGGTGCTTGTAGATAGTTGCATGCTACCCAATAATAACAAAGTTAAGTTGTAATTTTTGTGGTTAATTAGTTAAAGGAGATCTCAAATCAGGTTTGAATATACCCAACTGAGACTCTTTGCCAAACAGAAATGTTTTCTCCAGTGAGTGAAATGTTGCACTGTTGAGGACCACATTGGCCCATATTAAAAGCCTGAGCTTTGTTCCTTGCAGCATACTGCATCCACTTCTGATTTTTTTTTTTTTAGTGTTAATTGCACGTGTATTTCAGGTTTCAGTGTTTGACAGTATAACATTTTAACCTGAATGTTAGGCAGCTGCCATCAGGATGATGTATTGCGTCATGCAACCTGTAATCTTCATGTATTACATCTGTATATTAAAAGAGTTCTTCAGCAAACAAGTCCAGGTCATTTTTAGTTACTTCTTATTTATGTGGGAGTTAGCTTCTTCCTGTTCAAATAAGGGATTTACCATCGACAAGAGAAAGTGTTACAATACAGTACTCTCTTGGTGAAAATGAAGTGTAACGTAGATCAGTTGTTCTCTTCTGAAGGCTCAGAGTAGAGTAATATCCCATGTATTAATCTCCTGTGTGAAAGATGGGAAATGTATCATTGAGTTTAAATAAATAAATAAAGTGCTTTTGGTAAGACTCCCAAGGAGGGAGTGTGTGTCTGTGGTTTTTGTGGGTTTTTTTGGGTTTTTTTGTATGTCAAATGTATAGTTGAAATCTTGCAGGCCTCATAGCTGAAGAACACAATTAATTTAATTTATTTGATATTGGAGTCTGTGTAAAATGTCGAAGTCTGTTTTGCTTATTATTTCCAAGAATTGTGCAGAAATACTAATATTTTTTCCAAAAGAATGCAATAAAGCATATGCTTAAAATAAAAAAAAAGTGTTATGCTTTTCTTGCTATCTGATACATGAACATGGCCTTGAAAATTTTTCAGTCTCCATTTTCTTTGTCAGGTATTTACATGTTTAATGCTAGATACTTCCTTCTCACATGACTATGGGAAAATATTTGGAAGACCTTAGTGGTGATGCTTATGATGGCCTGGAGCTCTAGAAGCAGCTCTTGCACTTCATCACAATGAGGGAGAGGATGTGATTATTTCAATTTGAATGTGAATAAATAGGATGATCTAATGAGTTCCAAGTCTTGTGTTGCTTCAGGGTGGGCAGGGGAATAGTGGAGAGAGCGCTGCTGATCAGATTTCAGCCAACACTTCACTGACTTTTGCTAGTAGAGAAGAAAGTGACACTGTGACTTCTCCTATGGAAAAAGTTTTTTACAATAAGTATTGTATATTAGTGAAGAAACAGTTCTTGTTCCATTTCAGTTTCACTTTTCAAAATCCAAATGATTTTCACTGCTGTTCCATTTCTGCTGATTTTGTGTTGATGTGTGGCAGTGTGTAGACTTGAGCTGCTATAAACTGTCAGTGCAGCCTGTTATCGAAACACTGACATTAAGTCTGTAGTGAGACAGTGATGCTGACCGTACCGATTTGAACCTCTTAATCCTTAGATGAGTGCTGTTGTAAGTCATGCTCTTATTCTGAAAAGGTTAACCTATACCCAGGAACCTATGGTGAGAAACCAAAGTTAACTTTTATCTGTTGACTACTTCAGACTTGTGTGATACTAATTCATTGTAGATTAGCATGGTGGGTTTTTTGGTGTTGATAAAGGTAATGTCTCCATCAGTGAAGTAGATATTTTGTGAGGTTTTTGAATTCTTTTTTTTTAAATTTTCTTTTTAAGCACAGTAGTTAGCTGCTAATAGAGTAACAGGGTGATCCATGTGACAGAGGAGGTACCGTGTTTATATTTGCTTGAGATCCTGAATAAGTAGTAAATGCTAGCTTAATTTTAAAAAAGCAGCTCTTGGGATTTCTCATGCTTACAGACTGTCCTTGTGGGGGAAAACCAAAATTTGATGGCATGCTATTTCAATATTTTCATCTTCCAGTAGATGTGGTTCTCTAAAGCTTATTTTTCAAGATTTATGCATTTTTGGGACCCCCCCCCAACAAACATCACCCCAAACACAAACAAACAAAAGGTTACAGTGTAATGCCCCCCCTTTTTTTTCCCTCCTCCTTTTTTCTCTTAAGTGCTATCATAAAAATCAACAGCTTCCAAGATTGGCATGTATTTATTAATGAATTGTAATGAATGTTCTAATTGCATTAATTTAAAATGTAATATTTGCTGTCTTTGTTTTCTGATTTCAGGAGAATAAAATGGGGAAGTTCTAGAACCTTGAGAATAACTTGGCGCGGCAGTCTTGTTTGCTACAGGAACTAAGACTAGTCTCAAGAATTCACTTAAAGAAAAAGAAAGCCTAAAATCATGCCATCTGAAACGGAAGAGTTTTTTCCTGGTAAAAAGCAAATTAATTTGTTAAAACACAATGCGGCAAAGAATTTTTCTACAGATACTACTTTGGAAAAAGCACTGGGGAATGATCCTTTAAGTATGATGACTCAACCAGCAATTTTAGATGTCAATCTCTCTTACAAACTAAAAAATGTGAAAATTGATTTACCCAAGGTGGACATTCCAAATGAAGTATTAATGAAACATGAAGTTGATAGATTTAGAAAACTCTTTCAGTGTAAACAGCAAACTGCGAGGAAGTCCTTAAGTCTAGAGAAAATAAACGGAAGCAATCCCAATTGTTCAGAAGGAAGCCACTTGCAAAATAAACCAGAAGTGCAATTTGAAGAAGGGTTGAAAACTACAGCAAAGATACTGAATTTCACTTGTACGAAGTGCAAGGATAACATTAGATACAGCCCAAATGATCTACAGAAGCATTTTCAGCTGTTACACTATGGCGAGTTGCCTTTGTATCCTTGTGAGATGTGTAACTTCTCAGCTAATGACTTTCAGTCATTTAAACAGCATAGACGCACCCATCGCAGCACTTTAGTAAAATGTGAGCTCTGTAATGATGAGCATATGTACACTTTGTTGGATTTGACAAAACACTTCACATCAAAGCATTGTGTAAATGGTCACTTTCAATGTGAAAAATGCGGGTTTTCTACCCAGGATGTGGGCACATTTGTTCAGCACATTCACAGACATAATGAGATTCCATACAAATGTGGAAAATGCCATCACGTAAGCTTTACAACAGAGGAGTTCCAGAAACATCATCTTGTTCATACCAGTATGTTTCCTTTTGGTTGTCAATATTGTAGTTACAGAACACCGCGGAAAGATTATCTTTTAAAACACATCATAGCTTTGCATAGAGACCACTTATATGCAAAAGAAAAACTGGAAAGGGATCAATGTGAAAAAAGAATAGTGAAGACTCCAGCAGGACTGAAGCTTGTGTTAAGAAGGTATAAAATGGGAGCATCGAAAAAAGCACTCTGGAGACGGAAAAAAATAAGCGGTGGAAGTGACAGAACTGGAGAAGAACATGCACAAGTGCTAAGAAGTGTAAATAAAATACAAACAAAATCTGAGGAGCTGAACCAGTGTATGAGAGACGTGGAAGCAAGTGAAGAAAAAAATCAAATTACATATACAGAAAAGCATAATGTCATGGGTGGAATGCTCTCTGCTACTACCGCACAATACAATAAAGCAGATGATGGAACAAGTTACAGCCTGGGATTATTGAAAAATGCTGTTCATGGGCCAACGGTATTGATGGTCAAAAACAATAAAATATCTGTCCCAGCAAATTACAGTGCTAAATTTATGGGTTTTAAAATGGTAGATGGAAACCAACATATTGTTATAAAATTATTACCTACAAGTAAGCAAAACTTGCATTCGTTGGGTCAGAAAGCTGATCCTGTTAAGGATGGTTCTACAACTCCTTTGCTACAGACTGCTGATCCCTGTGGCATGTCTTCAGGTGCTATTCCACATGTAGCTGATCAGTTAACCTTAAAGAACAATTGTGTTCACCCATTAACCTCCCCTCCATTTTCTTGCTCTGCTCCTCATTCAGGAAAAACAAAAGTGGAAAAACAAAATAACTCCTTATTGTATGGTAGGAGTGTATCTCAAACTGTAGCACCTTCTAATGTAGCTGTAGGAAAAAGTTTGAATTATTTGCCAATGAAGTTGGGCTCAACTGTACCTCCATGTGATGAGGTGACAAAAGTTGGAACTCGAAGTAATTTGTCGTGGGGAAGCTATAGTCCTCCAAGTCATCCTCAGGTATTACCACCCACTATTACAAATACACTTCACTATGACCCTATGAAAATGCCCTTCTTTCCTGAACTGAAAATACAAAATGGTGGCCTCAGTAATAGTAATGGAACTAATAACCTCTATTATTCAACTTCAGTGGATTCTTCTAATGAAGGGTTGCTGTCTTTTCATAACTATTCCAAAATGGACACTTCGGATAATCCATGTAGCATTTGGATGTCAACAGATGACAGATATAAAGAATTTTTGTCTAGTAAAACAGTTCCTTTTCAAAACAATAGAAGAACTGAATCTGCATCTTCGTATTCGGAGTCGATGAAAGGTGTAAAACCAGAGAGAGTGGTATCAGCCCAATCAAATATTAATAAAACATACGGACACGCAAACGCTAAGAATAACTTTGTGTCTTCTAAAAGCCAATCTAAATGTATTGTTGACAGCGAGTGTTTTATGGAGGACCAGCATAATGGCCAGCAGTATTTGAACGCCAACGTGTATCCAGGGTTTGAGAATGTAGCTGAGAAATTCCAAGAAAATGCCTCCGATTGTGTTAACTCTGTCTTAATGCCTAAAATCACATCTGTTTTCTCATTGCAGAGTGAACAGGCAGCTAATTATTTATCACCTGAAATAAACCAGTTACTGCAAGATGTGTTAAAAGTGAAAGCAACTACTCAGCAAGAATCCCACAGCAAGTCAAATAACTGTGTAAAACTTCATTCTGACAAGCTGCTTTCTAGTCACGAGACAGGGAATAATGCCTTTACGCATTTAAAAAGCTCGGCAACTGCATGTGGTTTTCAGAGGCCTCCTACTAATGTAGGCTTTCATTTATGTAAGAGAGAGTTGAACACAAGATGTAGCACAAATGAAGGCACGCATTGTGGGCAAGACAGACAGTCACCCAGAACACCATTGGATTCACAGGGAATGGATAGATTCTCCAGAACTCCAGGTGTTAATACGTTGCTAAAAACTCATAGAGATGCAATCGTAACGCAGCAGTTAGTAAAAGATAAAATACTTTCTACTACTCAAAACCCTAGTAGCTTTTCACCAGTTCTTCAGGAGCAGAAGAAAACCCTTTTAGTTCAGTCCCCTCCATCAGGTTTTTTTGTTCCTTTGCACCTTGCTAACCAGCCCGGGCTACAGGTGGTTTCAGGAAAATCTCTTCCGTCAACCAGTTCGCCAGATGGGCATGTGACTAAAGGTGTACCTGCATCCTTTGTTTTAAATAAAGGACCTGGAATGATTTTGACTTTTAGTGGGGCAATTGGAACAGTTGCAAATGTCCCTAGTGATAGTTCTCAGGTTTTAGGGAGAGTTGCATCCAGAGAATGTGGTAAAATAACCATACCAGTGTCAAAGGTGGAGGGGAAGAATGACGGTTTCGGAAGAGTAAGAAGTTCCTGTAATAGGAGAGCATGTAGTATGGCAAATGACTCCTTGAATAGCATGTCATTCAAAGGACCTCTAGTAATTACAAACTCATCGGAGTCACCTGTGAAAGGAATGTCTTCTGTGAAGGTGTTATCAGAGCATCAGGATGCAGTCTTTGGTTCCTTGGAGTCAGTAAACCAACAAGAAATTAAACAGAAACATGTTTATGCACTTTTGCCTGACGGACAGCAGGCAGTTTTTCTGAAATGTATGACACCAAACAAGCCTGTAGTTCATAAACATAGTGTTTTTCAGGATAATGCTCATTATCAAAATTGTCCACCAAAGAAAACTGGAGCCATGCAACAAAAGCTTTTGCTGAAAATTAAGACTTCTACTTCAGATACACTGGCTGATACCACTCAGTCAGTAAGCAACTCAGTGCCCTCGCTACAGCTGGATAACTTGCAGTCCCTTACTCCTGCACTAGCACAGAAACAAACTAATCTTACTTCTAATGATGCCTTAATCTTACCAGGTAGGTTAATGCCAGCAAACGCCTCTTTGGCAAGCTCTAATCCAGCATGTTGTGTTCCTCCTGTAGAACCTGTTTATTCTACTAAGACTGTAGGGACACGGTTGCAAAAAGGTTCTATTGAGAGTACGCAAGTAATAACTGCTAACAACAGGAATAACTTTGGTAGTCAGAAGTCCACATGGACCACTCGAAACAGAACCGCAAAAGTAAAACCTCGTTTAAAACAAACTCGGTCTAAAAGTTCAGAAACTGTGGGTGTGCAAAGAAACAGGAATTTCAAACGGAAAAGTAAGGATAATTGCCCAGAACCTCCAAGAAAGAAAGTAATATTGCACAGAAAGTGTAAGGAAAAGAATCGAGCTGAAGTTGTTAGAGAATCAGGTGGTGCTTACAAACCGAGGGCGTCAAAAGAAACTGTGAGGACTTTGAAATTACTTCCTTTTAATTCTAAACAGCTTGTAAAATGCCCTCGGAGAAATCAACCGGTTGTTGTGCTTAACCATCCTGATGCAGATGTTCCAGAAGTTGTAAATGTAATGAAAACCATTGCTAAATTTAAGGGACATGTTCTTAAGGTTTCATTGTCAAAAAGAACTATTGAAGCGCTTCTGCAGCCAGCCTTCTGCAATCCGTTGGACGTAACTACTGATGATCTTTCTCAAAAGAGGCACAGGACAATAAAACCTATTAGCCCTGTAAAAGAAAGATTTGTCTTAAAATTGACACTGAAAAAGACTAGCAAAAACAATTATCAGATTGTGAAAACTACCTCTGATAATACCTTGAAGGCTAAGTTTAGCTGCTGGTTTTGTGGTAGAATATTTGACAATCAGGATAATTGGGTAGGACATGGACAGAGGCATCTGATGGAGGCTACTCGAGATTGGAATTCGTTAACGTAATGATGACCAGTGAAGAAAATAAAATTCAAATATCATACATGACAGTTTTTTAAAAAGAGAATCAATTGAATTAGGATACACACGCAAGTAATTTTGTATTTCAGTATTGTAACTGAAGTTTAAAAATTATGCAAAGTGCTTGTATTTTAAAATGGAAGAGCAGATTCTCTATTGCCATCAAGCTTTGAGACAGATCGAGGAGCTTTGTGGTTTGGATCACTTGTAACTAACTGCAAATACAATTCCATAGAAATATATATTATTTTTTGTTACTACTATCATGTCCTATATTTTTATTCTATAGAAGAGTCTTCAGGGCTTTTGTTCTGTACATATTTAAAAAAAACCTAAACATGTAAATATTTTTATACTTTTCAGTTATTTGGTATAATTCTTGCACAGAAATTATCCCTCCCCTCATTTTTCAGTTCTGTGCATGCACTACTAAAACCAATTTTTAAAATTTTTTCAACTACACACAGCTGTTATCCTGGGATTTTTGTTGTTTTCACTTGTTAGCTCTTGATTTTGTTTTTCAGGGATTGAACACTATTGTTAGCAAGTGCCTAAAAGATGTGAAGCAGTTTACATTATGTCAACTGTGTAACCATAGGTCCAGATAGGGCCATTTCCCCAATAGTTTCATTTAAACAAAGCCATATGTGAATGCTTTAAGCTATATTGCTATGCACATGACACTTGTACTATTTCTGTGCAGTTTGTCTACTTTCTTAGTGAAGTATTTTTCATATAAATTAATAAAAAGTTACAATTGTGTTAATAAACGGTGAGCCTGAGAATGGAATCAGCTGAAAATATACAGTATATATATTCATAATGTATATGGTGTTTGAGAATGGTGAACATTCCTAATCTGTATTGACTCTGTCACTATTAAATTTGCTATAACTTGTGTTTACAGAATATGACTTTATAGAAAATGTTTCTGTTTTGTTTTATCCTATATCTGCCACAAACCCTATAGGAAGGCCAGATTAGGCTGAAGTGCAAAGCACCGTTTCAGGCCTGTAACTGCGTTGTAGTTTTATTCCAGGTGGCTGTAATTTGTCCCCTTAATGACTAAGTAGTATTTTCTGCTATTGCTTATACAGATTAACTGCCCTTTAGGGTATCAGGGGTTTGGCAAAACCAAGGCTTAAGTTATTCCTCCCTCATTTTACTGGCCAGTAGGGTAATATTCATAGGACTCTGCTTGCTTCCTACTTAAAGTTACAGCGGTAATGATGAAGGGAGAATATGCTTTGCATTTCTTGATGTTTATGTGAGGGTATGTAAACAAAAGACCTTATCTTACCCATAGTGACTGCAAGTATATAAATGAAGGTCTGTATTATCCACAGTAATTATGTTTAGAGGCTTTGTCCTCCAGATTCTTAATGAACCTGGAGGCTAGATCCAGGCTTCAGTGGGAGTGCCCTCACCACATGGCACCTTTTGGCCAAGTACTGGGAGATTACATATTAGGTGTGTAAGTCAGCTTCCCAAAGTATTGGTGGAAAAACTGTCAAAATTGAATACTGGACTTGAAGAGGAGTGGGGCATTCAGATCTCTGAGGTTTTAGATTGTATGCGAGTCCAGGGGTAGTTCTCTGTGACCTTTTCCGTAAGGTGAAAGTGAAGACCGACTTGCTACCAATAGAGCAATTAGAAGTCTTTTATGGATATCACAGGGTTGTCACTGGTAACATAGTTCAACTTCTGTCTTAAAAAGTGTTATAATGAAAATGATTTTTAAAAAATTACTTAAGTAGCTAGATATGGTGGGTTTTTTTCTTGATGTGTCTGTTGGCAGGAAGATGCACACTAGTAGCTAGTGGGTTAGGTATGGGAATCAACTGAAGTACCTGAGAGAGTCAAGGCAGTGTAGTTTGGGTGAATTAATACACAGTCGATGTGTGTTCTGTATCAAAGTCGGATCATTTTGTGCTGCACAGTGGGCTTGAGCTCTGTCATCAATTTGGCTAGGAACTTTGAATGAGACTAGTGTAGTGGTGAGGAAGTACCTTAGAAAGAAACAAACAGCATTAGCAAAGGACAAAAATTTGTTGAGCTTTTTTGACTGGAAGGATCCATTGTCTGCCTCGGCTTGCTCTCCTGTAAACCCTGAAATTGAACCCCTGATTTCTGGACATTGCTATTACCTTCTTTGGCAGAAATATCTGTGAAATTTGTTGCTAAAACCTACTCGGTGCAACTTCACAGAGGATGGCCAATTTTTGTTAACAGTTATGTAGCATTGAGGTGGAAGTTCTGCTGTAGAATTTGGGGGTTTTCTCTAGATCAATGAATTGTGAAAGTGACAACTGTAATTGGATTTTGTTTTCCCTCCAGCTTGTTTTCCTATGAATTGGGTAACAAACAGTACTGTGAAAAAGAACATTGTAAAGCTAGGAAATGTTGAAATAAGGTTGCTTTATGCAATCTTAATTCATTGGCATGTGTTGCTGTCCATGGACATCCATCTCATTCAGTGCAGAGAACCGTTGCTCCCTCTTGAGCAGTCATTGAATATTTTGTTTCCCTATCCTCATTTCTGTCCTTGTATTATTTACTGCACATTGCTCAAGTACTGTTCTGAATAGATAATTCTTTTTTTTTTCTTATGAGCTTTTCCATAATGCTTTGTTCGAGGTCCTAAGAGTTTGGCACTTCTGCGGATCAGGTTTCAAGGAATCTCAAGTGAGACTTCCATGAAATTAAGATCACAATTAATGATCATCAGGAGAAAGTTTGGCTTTAGCAATATGACCAGCATCACAGTGGATAGTGCCGTAGAAGATCTAGGGACAACATACAGTTCTTCAATGAAATGTTCAACTGCTTTAACAGTATGAGGCTACCTCTTTACTGGCTGACTACTGCAATGTTTGTGTGTTTCTCAGCATCTTCAGTAAATGGGAAAGGTGTCTTACAAATATCCTATGAGCAACAGTGTTCATTACACAGCTACAATTTATCCCTGAAGTATCATGTGAACCAAGTGAAATATATAAATCCACATGGAAAAATGGTTAACAGTTGTATGCTTAATGTTTGTATTGTAATGGATATATCTGATGTGACAAATTAAGGTTGCACAAGTAATCTGAAGTGTGTCTTGATTTTGACTTTACAACCATAACATTTTAAGATAGCTTGTAATATTGTCCATATAGCAAGATAAGAAAACCTTAACTTGGTTATGTTTTGAGGCATACAGAAATAGGCACAAGTGCAGGGTCGACAAGTGTTTTTCCTCTGAGAAAATGTTTTGTAAATATATACTTGGCCTAAGCCTTATTTGTACAGCGTTGATGTGTTTGTGTGAAGTGGCCTTAAAGAGGCCTAAAATCTATCCCATTGTGTATTCTTTGCAAGATGTGTATTAATCAGTAAGTCATGGTTTCTCTTCCTCAGTAATTCCAATGTTTTAACAGAAAACTTGTGTTCAATGTTTGTTCCAGGGCTGTTGTTGTGCGAGACTTTTTTTTTTACAATGCTCCTAAGAATCTCTGCCTGCTGCTGGTGGTTTAGATTGGAGGAGGAATGTAGTTTTGTAACTTGCATGTCTGAACACTTGGATTTTTGAGAATGCAAGTTCTTACTCCTTTCATGGAACAACATTGTCAGGAATGATTTGCAGTACTCATTGTACTCTCCTTTCTGTAGCAGGTAGGCAGACAACACTTACACTTCTTTGTACATTAGTAAATATGATACTTTGCCCTGAGTTCTCAGACAAAAACTGTACTTTGTTTTAGAGCCAATTTTTTAGTTCTAGTTTTAGGTCTTCCTTTTTTTTTTTTCCTGGCTATTCAGTTAATTAGCTAACACTATCAAAAGAAATATGGGGGGAGAGGTGTGTTGCTGTGTCTGTCAGAGGTTGGACTTGACATACTTGCTCCCTGATGGAAACACCCGACAGCATTAACTAGTGGCAGCGGCTGGCGCTGCAACAGCTGGAAGATAAAAGTTTCAGGTACAGGGTTGCACCAAGTTGCCATTTCCTAGGTTCTGTAGTGGCAGGATTTTTAACATAGCATGTTGACTCTATACTGAGTGCGAGTTGATTTTATATCCTTGCAAAACGCAAGCTTGTATTTTCCCTTGCTCAAACTTTTCTCCGGCTAAAATTGCGTTTCAAAATATGTCTGCACTGCAGTCTGCCCAAACTGCAAAAGATCTAGCTTGGGTATGGAAAGCAGAGTAATTAGTCTGCTTCCTGTATAAAACTGTGAGTATAGCAAAACAGATTACCACATACTGGTGGTTTTGTTTGTTTATGGTCATGTCCGTGTCATCTCCTCCCCCCCTCCCCAGCCTTACTTTGTGCCTAGGGTCTTCTCTAGGCTGAATGGATTATTTTGTGGAAGGTGGTGCTGCCTATCACATCCCTGCCTCATTTTCTTGTCAAAACTGTAATGATGTAGAACATGGCTAAAAAGGAAGGAAGGGTTTGAGGATGAAAGTAGTTGAATGTTTATCTAGAGCATATTTGTTATTTGTTTGAGGATGAAAGTAGTTGAATGTTTATCTAGAGCATATTTGTTATTTGTAGATCAGCCACAAAGTTACTGTAATGCTGAGCACTTAGAGCTGAGGCTCAGGAGCAGCAGTGCTATCGGTATGGAAAGGGTTCAGTATTGCCGATTACCTTAGAAAATTGATACTGTAGTCTCTCATGGAAGCCTAGCTATAGTCGAGCTTCACTTTTCCATACCTTTTTCTTCCCCAGTTCTAGAATGATGGTGGTACTGCGTGTTTAATTCACTCGGAAAGAAATGTTTGAAGAACCTAGACACTTGTGAGGAGCAACATACAAAGGTTAACAAGAGCCAGACAGTTGTGTTAAGAACAAAGTTTAAATACTGTGCAGGACGTGAGTGAATAAGGCAAGGACTCCACGTGAATGCAAGGAAAGCTAAATATTGAATGGCTGCTTTTTCATGGAGTGTTTTCCATTGTGAGTATTGCTTGAAATAGTAACCTAAAGTGATGTTTCATGTAACAAAATATTATCAGAGTATATGTATAGGAGGAGTAAATTAAGCTGGCAGAGACTAATAACTTTTGTTAATTTTGGGGCCTTGTTTAGAACATTAAGATTGCCAAGTCAATACACTAGTACTAAGCATAGTGTTAGTACAATACTAATTAATACCAACTGAACAGTATATGAAACATAGCACCTATGTAGTACTGTGAACAATCTGCCATAGGCAGGCTTGTGTACAGTCTTTATACATTGTTTCTTACTTGCCACTGTCTCATTTGCTTCACATCTGAGGTAAGTTTTATCTGTGTAGCAGAGGGAAGAAGCTGAGGTACAGCAAGGTAGGTGCTGAACATCATCATGTTAGTACACAGTTCTTTCTAGAAGACAGGTGCGTTACTTGTAGAAGTACTTGATCAAAACCACAAGGAAGTAGTTGCAGAATACAGCTACAGCATAGCTTTAAGTGATTTACTGAGACTTTGCAAGTCTTGGCTCAATCTTGCCTTAAATGCCTCACAGATAATCCTGGAGAACACTGCCTAATCTGGAACAAAAAGAACAAAGCAGGTGTGTGTAGAGTGTCAGTTTTGGAAAATACCTTTAAGATGGATGAGTTTTCCAGTCCAGTGAAATCAAACACCTCTTGAACTAACTAACAACTGTTCCTAAAAATTTTTCATTGGTGCAATTTATACATTCATCATTTTAATTTTCACTGCTTTAACCGTTGAATTACAATACGTAAACTACTGTGATAGAACAGGCTTGAAGGGGTGGGATTTTTGTGTGTGTGTCTGTAAAC